GTAGTTGATTCTGGAGGTGATGAAATGGACTAAACAGTATGGGTGTCTGCTCAAAAACAGGTTATGTTAGAAACAGCCCTGGTACATTCATTGTTTAGTTCACAGTCCCACTGTGAAGGAATGTAATGTTAGCAGCTCTGTCCTACTGTGGGAAGCTGACACTCCAACAAACACATTGGTTACTCCTCATTCTCATAGCATTTTCTCTTGTAATGTTAAAAGTAAATAATTCAATTTGAACAGTAAAGCATACATCTCATAACCATCATAACCTCTATGTTGCTTGTCATATGTTTTTCTGTTACCAACAGGTTAGGATTTAGTGGCGTCTAGCGGTNNAACTCCCTCGCCTCACCCTCCCGTTCCAAGCGACAGTAACTAACAGCATTGGGGCTTAGTGAGTCAGTTAATGCAGTGGGGCTGTAGAAACAATGTGTGTAGGAGCCATTTGTGTTTGTTTTATTAAAGAACTACAAGGCAACACGGAATCACTGATCATCATCAATAGAAAGCTGAGAAGAAATAGTTTTTCAACCACTGCAAAAAAGCTAGAGACCAATTGGTTTTTGCAATGTCTGTTATTCTGAATACTTTTGGATCCACATGCTGCATTTTTAACGCGGGAATAGAACTATTTGTTTGGTTTCGTTACACGCTTAACACACTGCACAGTTGCGTGCACATCACTCATTCATTCCCACATTCGCTCTGCTCCAATTGAGCCAAGTCATCTCTGCAAGTAAGTGAAACATATTATGGATATTATGGAAGTGCATTGAAACCAAGTCTGTCCCTATAACAACGTGTAACAACAATGTGTACTACTACTTTACAAAATATGAACCCATTTGCCCCTCATACCTGAACTGTACGTCTGTCTCAAAGGCTGTCACGCCGCACGCAATGCTCCTCTCGAACGACATCATGGTGTTCTCAGGGGCCAGCTGAACACAGTGAGGACAGATGGGTGAGACACACTCATGTGCCTAAAACTACCCTTAAGCTGTGTGAACGCACACAACCCTACACAGAGTTAAATTGAGCTTATTGGTGACCCAGGAGCAAAGCAGACTAAAAAGGACAGAGCGGCATGGCATATGGGGCCCTCACATGTTCACACCTGAGCCAGTATTTGCTGTGAAGTCATTTGATATATTACATCAGCAAACAGAATATAATAAATGGTAAACAGAGTATGTTGTCTTGTGCTATTTACTCTGAATGACAGGAGATCATGATGTTTGCATGGATTGTAGCAGTTGGTTTTTATGTCTGGGTGGCTTACAAATTCAAGGAAGAGTTAGACATTTTTGGGAAATACACGTATTTGCTTTCTTGACAAGAGTTATATAAGAATATTGACACACTCATATCTGTGCATTAAATATGAAGCTACAACCAGGAGATGGTTATCTTAGCTTAGCCTAAAGACAGAAAGCAGGGGAAAACAGCTAGTCTAGTTCTGTCTGAAGGTAATACTTAGCAGCAACATTTAAAGCGTACAAATTAAGCTACTGTATCTTGTTTAATCCGTTCAAAAACTAGAATGTAAGTAAGACACTTTTTGATTCTATGGAGGGTTATGTATCGGACTATTCATCGGCTGGGAGCGGTGACTTCTTGTCCAAGTGGTATTTAGACTTTTGACGCACAATGCCTTGAAAGGATCATTGAACTACTGTCTGTTTACGTACAACTATAAAGCCTTACTTTTTATAACTGCTATGTTACAACTTCTACATGAAAGGTGCACTATGTGTATCTTTCGGGTGTTGCCAAGAAAAACAGGATGCTCACCATTGGTGCGCCCCGGTGGCCAATGAGTTTCGGTTTTTCAGGTAATTCATGTACTTCTATCAGACATGGAGACTGGATGTACAGTGGACACAGGAAGATGGCTGCTGACACCGCTATAAATACCACTGCAATGAGGAACTTAGAACCTGGTGAGAACAAAAGTCAAACAATAAGATGATCCTCTTTAGCTTTTTTTAATTAACACTGTTGTGAGTCGACAGAGGACCTGTACAGGAGTCCATTCAGAAGTGTGAGTAAAGCAGAAGAAGGAGGCACTGCATGGCTCTAATGATGCTGATTCAACAGGTGCTCTTTAGTTAAGGTTAGGTGAAGGTATACAAAAACCACTAGAAAAACCACAGATATTTAGGAAATTTTGGTTGATGTCAAGTGATACAGATAACCCTTGAAAAAGACTAAGGCTCTCTGTCAATAGATTAATTAATATAATGAATTTGTTATGGAGCATGGGCAGTAAAACAGACTAACACATACCAACTCTAGGTCTTCATCAGGGTCTGACAAACACTTAATCGGGATTATATTCCAGCCTTGAGTGGTCTTCCAACCAGCGTATAAAGCCTATACATAACATGAACTATAGAAGGCGCAAAAATAATAACGTGGGCATAACAAGCATACATGTCACAGAAATGTGTGACAATATATTATTACCATTAAGTGAAAACAATATGATGGGGAAAAAAATCCAATAAAAATCAATAATCAAATCATACTTGATTGTAGATTTTATGGATTTTTTGTTTTTTAAATATAACAGTATTATTTCTATTGTGGGAGTAAACATTTCTGTACATAGTTTTAATAGCCATTTGTTAAAATAAATATATGTGTGTGTCCTTTCCCCTTTATTTATTATATCTCCATTCACTCTTTCCTTCAACCTACAGTACTGTCTTAATTACTAGCCAGGGATCAGAATAGCTCATCTTTTATCTCATTTTCAAAATTGACTCAGTGATGATATCAATGTCTGGAAAAATGGTATGTCTGTAAACAGTGTTGTAATTGTTTGTGAATGTGTGCTCTTAAATAAGGTCTGAGACATACATTGTCCTTTGGCTGCGTAGAAACCGCGGAAGATGAAAGGGCTCAGCAGGGTCAACGCCCCAACAGCACCAAACTGCAAGAAAGGAGCTGTGGCCTGCCAGGAGGATGACACACATGATGAACACAGACAAATAAAGTGTTACCCTCTCAGTATCTCACACACCCTTAAGCCCTGAGTATGAGACCCTCGCTGTACCTGGAGTGAAAGAGGAACAATTGGCCATTCTCGTTTCCACATGAGACTAATTCCTATGACCCCAAAAGTGATTAATATCACACCAAAAAATAAGAGGATCTGTGTAGAGAAAAAGCAAACATGACATTCAGCAATTTGAATAAAAACGCAATAGATGAGGCATATTTAGAAAAAAGCTGGACAGTAAATGTTTGTGATACCTTGTGTAGCCAATGTAAGTCGAGTGGTTCTCCTAAGGCCACTTGGAACAGTGCAAACAGCTGTAATGAATGGTGTACATGAGAAATCTTCATTTTGTCATAATATCTGGTTCCTAAGACTGTTTTATGTCTTTTATTGAGCAAGAATTCTAAACATTCAGGTACATTACTGCTCAATCTCAACACCATATTATCAACACTGCAATCTTACCAGCAGCAGAATGCAGTAGCTGGTTAACACTGCAGAAATGATGATCAGCACCATGAACCAGTTCACCCACTGTTTCAGCGTTGTGAAGCCTTTCCTGATAATAGAAACAAAAGAGGGCAGCAGAGGTCACCAATAAAGAAAGAAAAGAAAAGGAAAGAAAAGAGAGGATTCTGGGCTTTTATGCTGAATTCAATGTAGGGCGTGTGCATGTGTGTGCATGCTTGTGGTCACTCACGAGTTAACATCCTCTCTGTCATTAAAAGTAACCAGACAAATGTACATCCAACACAGGGCAAGCAGGGAGACCAGAGAGACAACTGAGAACCAGCAGCATGCATGCTATAATAAAAAGAAACAGGTGAAATCTTCATTCATTTTCACAGATCATAAGATCATAATCAAGATCTTTTGCATGCTTTGTGTTTGTGTAAATGAATGTATGCATTGGATTCCAAAGAAAATTTGATCTGGGGAAGGCAAATGGAACAACTCCAACATTTTTTCATACTTGGTTTTGCACCCTGCACTGACAACAAACACTTTCTTTCAGCATCACTACACCTCCACCCTCCAAAATCATACCCTCCACCATCCCCCTCCCTCCTTTATAATCCTGTTCCAGACTGGTCCATAACAAGCCTGTTGGGGCCTGTGGGTTTACTTATTTTTCTTGGCACACAGGTTCATATTCAGCATTTCCTTTTCATCAGTTTTTACAGTTTACACTTCTACTTTTCGATACATATGCAAACTGCTTTCTCACAAAACGCATTTAAAGCATTAAATTAAACGGTTCATTGGTAATATTTTATACAGTTCACTGATTCAGTGCTGTGGAATGTCAATCCCTGGGATTTGCTACAGGGATTTGTAAGGCTATATTCAGTAGAACAAGGGACCTGAAAACTTAAATCGACAAAGTAATTTGGACCAAATTATGTAATTTAAGGCTTGTCTGAACTTACTAATGGTCATATAAAAATATATTCATATGTGTTAACTTAAATATACACACATATAGAAATACTCACTTTTTTATTATTTTCGCTCGAGTGCTTCCAGTGGCAGCTATAAAAGCCCCTGCTGCAAACTCTGCAACAGCTTTCTTTACATGGAGACATCTCTTTTCCTCCTCATCCACAGTGTATGAAGTACAGATCCTGCTCAGTGCAACCTGGACGCCTGATACACACAGCCTGAAGAAAGATGGAGGGAGCCCAGATAACGCTTTCTCTGGATACCAAGAAGAGGGCCGACCTCATTCACCTCTCTAAACCTATGGAGGGTAGGAGGACTGTGACAGAAAGCAAATGAGGGGGAAGGGGAAAAAAAGTTTCTTTGAGTGTTAAGGCAATCCCTGCTCAATACCCCCCTCAATAGAGCCTGTGTGCTGGCTGCACTTACAATGGGCAACACCATGGGGAACTGAGAGCAGTGCACGGACCGTCCTGAGAGTGAAGTCACACTATTGAGCCTTTGGATCACAAACCGCCACAGTGACAGGCACATCCATGCACAGAGAGGGTCCAAGTAAAGAGCAGTTTGCATACTGACAGTTACTTACTGCAGTTTAGAGGGGTATAGATTGTGTTTCCATGTTGAATTGTGGTGTCCCGGGAATGGTCACAGTAAAATTTAAGCAAACATGTAGGGGCACATCATTTTACAGATGCCAGGTTTCGGTCCATTCTATGTGCAAAACGTGTCACCCACCATGGAGGCACATTGAGCAATAAAGGTTTCTATTGTGAAAGGGCTTCAAACGACCAACTGTTTCTCGTTGGACTTGATCTATCTTGGGGATTTGCCAGCTGTTGTCTCACCTGGATTGTTGATTTTGTTTCCCTAATCAAAGCCTTCAGGGAAATAATCAAGTTCAAGCTCAGGGCATAAGTTTTGAATAGATCAAACAGGTCAAGTTAAGACAAAACTTAAGTATTTATTCCAAAGTATAGAATTAAATAACAGCCCGCCAGTTATTTTATTTTTTTTATCATCTAATAAAAACATGTTTGGGCAAGTCAACAGGTCTGAATGTCACTGTCATGAAACATGAGATGCCTTGTTTCACAGCACAAACAGAGTGCAGCACAAGGAAGTGTTAAACCTGAGCTGAATGTTGAGCAATAACAGTAAATATGTGTGTGAAACCAAACTGTCATCCAGTGACAAGTTTACAAAAGAAAGGGAAACAGAAATGTCCCCCTTACAATCAAAGACAAATTAAATGCAAATTACAACAGTGTCCTTTTTATGTCCCAGTCCAGCATACTATAGCTGGAAGGCATCAGTTTAAGTACAAGGATTTAATTTCACACATTAATAAACATAAACTACATAAAGGCACAGCACACAGTTTTACCTGTGTTGTTGTTACAGATTAAAAGACACCACAGGGACACACCTGGCCAATTGGTTCGGCTACAGCACTTTCATCACTTAATGTTGGCAAACGTAAACTGTAATTAGTCTCAAAAATGATGTGAGGCACTATTGTAATAAGAAATGATGAGAGATAAACTATCTCATAATCTTAAACGACTGATGGCGTTCATGCAGGAGGAAAGAGTAAAAGTTCTCATATATCTCTCAGTCTCGATCTGCTTGAAGTAATTTCCTCAATAGCAGAAATTGTTGTCACATCAATCTTAACTTTGAACTCAAAAACTCTTTCATTTTGTCATTGAATACCAAAAAAGAAACTTAACAAAACACTAAACACTTTACAAGCTCCCATCCCTTTTATAGCTTTTAACAGCAGCGATGTGAGAAAAGATTTTTCCTAAAATCCTCTCAGCCATCCACATCACTTAACACCAAAATGTCTTATCTTGTGTATATGTGCTTTTATTGTTCTTTTTTTTTACTTGACGTGATATTATCTGAATATTACTGAAGAACAGCAGCTTCTCAGTGTGAGTATAGCTCATAGTGATGCCGTGAGAAAATCCCTTAAGAGACCTAGATGGTGTGTAGTGCAAGTGAAATATTTGTGGGGGCAGGAGTCAATACTTTCTCTGACTCTGAAAATGAAATAACCTTTGATATTACTCACTATCAACCCCAGTGGTGGACACATTGGTAGTTCTCTCTTTGTAAGACATTAATATATGTTTTTATATTTATATATTTTTTTTTTAAATCATGATCTTTTTTTAATGTCTTTTATCAGGACTCTGAGTCTGAAATAAAGTTTTTCCCAATAACTCTCTCACAGGATTGTGAATGGCGTTGGTTGGGCTACTTTTTGTGTTTTCTTCTCCTTTTTTCCCTCCTTTCTTGCTTCTTGCAATGCTGTGTTTATTGTGTTCATATGCAAATAGTGCACCTCGGCACCACACAGTTGTGGCACTTGAATTAAATGGCTGACCTGCTTTCAATTAAATAATGTTTGATAGAATCAATAACATATGATGTGAAGAGATTATTGGATGATAGAAGACCAATTAGCTGCAACCTGTCATTTTTGATGTAATGCAATGTTATTCACATATCTATCTATCTATCTATCTATCTATCTATCTATCTATCTATCTATCTATCTATCGAACTAAAACGGACTCACCATGAATGAACACACTGTGCCGTTTCTTTCCCCTCACGCACTCGCTCCGACGCAGCCTTCTTTGGGGTGAAACCTCTTCTGTCCTCTCCTCCTCTCTGATCCTCTCGCACCCGTTTTCACTCTCTGTGAGTCCGTGAACTGAATGTTAACATCGGTCTGTGTGTGTATGTGAATGGGTGAAAGGAAAAGGGGGTGTAACCCGAACAGAGAGGGAGGAGGCTTTAAATCAGGTAGAATGAAACTTAAAGTGAAACTTGAAGATTATATCAAGGTTACTATAAATCGCACGTCAGTTCATCTGCAACAGATAGCATGGGGGTTATAATGAGAGAAAGTATGGTCAAACCCATAAAAAACAAACTAAATGTCTATAATATCCAGATGGAGGCTAAAATGACCCACTAATACACTTTATGTATTTAAGCTTATGTATTAAGTTCTTTAAATCTGTACATTTAATCTCTATATTTTCTGTTAATACTCCTTTAAAAAATAACCTATTTTCCAAAACTAAAGCTGTAACAGATGCTTGGTTACTGGGCCTATGGGAAAACTGCTTTTTATACTTGTCATGATCCGCTTCTGGCTTTCCATCAGTGCAACCACCTTCACCTG